GCACAATGTGTCAATGCAGTAGCTTTCTTCTGTGCTGTGTCATTCTGTCTTGCCATTTTTTTTTTCCCTTTTTTATCTTTTTTCTTGGTAAAATTATCTGAGCCACGAGTAAGTTGGAGTAGAGTAAATAAGATTAGTCTGTTTGATGCATGGTATAACGATTGATTTGGGAGAAATGGTTTTGATTCTTGGGGCGCAGGTACCAGTACTGGGGAAGGTGGAAGCTGTTCCATTATGGTGGTTTTCAGCTGAACTGTGCTGGGACCAGTAATCTATAATAACGGCAGCAGAAAGGGTTTTTAACTAAATTGTGGAGGGGTGAGGCATCAAGTGAAGGAAAAGTGTTGTATTAGAGAACCAGAGGAACAGGCAAGACAGCAAGTTAGCAGTGAGGGAAATGAATAATCAATGTGTGGCAAGAAGTTGCAGAATAACAAATGTAAAATATGCCTGCAAGTAAGGCTAGAGATTGTGAAAATAGTAGAGTTAAAGGCTAGTATCTAAATGCACATGGCCTTCATAATAAATGGATGAATTAACAGCTCAAACAGAAAACAAAATGCATGATCCAATAGCTGTTACCGAGACATGGCGGCATGGTGACCAGGTTTCAGACCTGAACATTAAAAGACATTTGAGTGACACTTTGGAAGGACAAGAAGCGAGGAAGAAGTGGAGGGTTAGCTCTGTTAATGAAGAATGGCAATAATACAATAGAGAGAAATCACCTTCATTCTACAGATCAAGACATCCAATGGCTTGGGTACATAATAGAAATAGTAAAGGGAAGAAGTCACATGGGAGTAGCATTTAGGTGCACTAACAAATTCCCTACTGGTTTTGGGTATACCGGAAGAAATAATGAGGACTTGTGGGAAAGATATGACAATAATTATGGGTGCCTTAAGTCTATATATTGACCTAATGAATCAACTTAGCCAGGATTGGCTGGAAGATGAGGTCATAATGTGTTTTTGGAATAGTTTCGCAACAGAAATTGGTGGAAAAACTCTGCATCTGTGGAGAGAAAGCAGAGTTAATGTTTCGGGTCCAATGACCCTTCAGAACTGGACCCAAAATGTTAACTCTGCTTTCTCTTCATGGATGTTCTCTTCACACTTCTGAAGTTTTCCAGTATCCGCAGTTCTTTGTTTTTTTTTAAAAGTTTAGAGGGAACATTGATGGGAACTGGGTACAGTGGTAGCGATCAAGTGAGTGTGAGATAGCAGACAGAAAATGGTGGTACCTTTGCTGGCAGAGTGCAGAACATCATTGACCTTCTTCCTACACTTTCTGCCTGAGGCAGCACTGACCTGGTTGACTGGAATAGTCTGGTGTCATGGCCTCCGGTGCTAGTCCTGGGGGAAGAGAGAGTCCTACATCTGCACCACCCTGTCCAGCAGACCCTTCAGGTCTCAGCATCCCATGTGGTAAGCAAAGTTTCCCTTCTCTCGTGTCCTGTGCAAATGTCAGGAACCATGCAGGCATCTCTGGAATAACCATACTTGCCCAGGGCACAATGGCAGGGGATACCAGTCTGTTCTGGGATATCCCAGTAGTGGTGAATTGTCCTGGGTATGGTGAGTGTCAGAATGGGGCTAGAATCAGATGAGAGAGAGAGAGGCATTGTAGGAGTGGTGTTGCACCTTAAAGTGGTGAGCTCGCTAAGTTATAGCGAGAAAACTTGTAGATCTCATGAGACAAACCCTGTATGCATGACACTTTGGGCTGATCCCTACATTTCTAGCCCAAGCGTCTCCCATTTAAGACAGATGAGGAGAAACTCTTGTTGTGTTTAGTTTATGGAACATTCCTCCAAGAAAACATTAGAGGTAGGATCAATGAACATTTTTAAGGTTGAGGTAGACTTTGAGGGAATCAGACAGTATAGGGAGTGGCTGGGTAAGTGCAATGAGTCCTCAATCAGATCAGCCAAGATCTTATTTAATGGAGGAGCAAGCCTGAGAGCTGATTGGCCTATTCCATCTCCGAATTTGTACATTCGAATGAATGATTGTAGCAATTGGTAAAATGGTTTGCATTCATTTGGACTATTTAGTTCAATTTATTTGTCCTCCTCAAATGTGCCAATTTACGTGAAGGATATTGAAATATGTATGCAAACGATCACGAAGTCTTCATCTTTTCTGCAGCATGAAAGAACTTTTAAAATAACTTCTCAGTTTTCCATGTCTGTCTTTAGATTTGCAGTCTTGGTGATCAGTTTCCTTTTTACCCTCTTCGGGTTGAGAAATTTGATCCAAACCTTTTGTTGAATGAATCTATTTATCTAAAGTGATCTGGAAATGCAAGTCAGATGTTTAAATTCCCATTGCTCTATCTAAGGATAAAGGAACAGCAGAAGTGAAGTTGAAGATGATTCATTGTTCACAACAGGGACACACGTTGTATTAATATAAATTGTGGAAATGAACATAATAAGACAACTTAAACAAGAAATCTGTAGAATTATGACTAGGCAAGAATGATCATGACTGTTCATTTAGAGGAACTGGGAAATGGCGTTTTTCCTGTGATGCTTCAGTCTAGTTGTTAGAATCCTTTCAAATGTTAGGGATATTAGCCCAATTCCTACACCAGCATTGTTGACTAAGTGTCTATCACTTCGAGATTTAAAAAAAAGTCAATGATTGGAAATCTGAACCAGTTGCTATTGGCCTTTTGATCCGCACTGTATGATACTGCACTGCACACATTGCCAGTCATTTCACTATCAAAGGGACATGACATAATGCATCATGAATTCTGACAGCAAAATGGATATGAGTTGGAGTTTTGGGTTTGTGGAATTGATTTAATCTTTGTGGAAATGGAATTGAGTCATTGGTAATGTGATATCCACTGACTGTAAAATTTCTGACTCATTCCCTCACTCATTCCATGGTTTGAATTAGAACCTTAAGCAGAAATCACACGAGTTTCTTATCCAGTTTTGTATTGTACACATCACAAAATGGAACATGCATCAACAACCCATTTTAATACCATTTCTGAATTCAAAGAGATCTTTTTATTTTAATTTGGGGATTATTGGTTGTTTTATGTCTTCTGCTTACCTGACGTATTTTAAATGTATAAATGCCTATCTCGACAGATGAAAAGTAGAATGTATGAGGTTCTTTGACACCTTGTCTTTTTTTGTCACTTTTCTTTGTTCAGTTAGCTGTTGTTCTTCTTTCTATTGTTGATGACATATCTCAGAAGCAAGTCTGCAGTCTTGGAAGGTTGATGATTTTATTTTCTCCATTTAACCATGTTCTGTCCTCCTCAAAATCCAACTTACAGCAATTCTGGTCGTACTCTGTAACTGACCTTGATGTAGTTTTACACTTATTAGCAAAAGCTCTTTGTCTGGTTTGCAGCCGAACCGTTGTAATTGAAAGTTGAGCCTCTCAGGACTAGGCCATAAGAGGACTTGATCCCGATGCTATAAACAAAGAACAAAGAAAATTACAGCACAGGAACAGGCCCTTCAGCCCTCCAAGCCTGCGCCGATCCAGATCCTCTATCTAAACCTGTCACCTATTTTCCAAGGATCTGTATCCCTCTGCTCCCTGCCCATTCATGTATCTGTCTAGATACATCTTAAATGTCGCTATTGTGCCCGCCTCTACCACCTCCGCTGGCAACGCATTCCAGGCACCCACCACCCTTTGCGTAAAGAACTTTCCAGGCATATCTCCCTTAAACTTTTCCCCTCTCACCTTGAAATCGTGACCCCTAGTAATTGAGTCCCTCACTCTGGGGGAAAAAGCTTCTTGCTATCCACCCTGTCTATACCTCTCATGATTTTGTAGACCTCAATCAGGTCCCCCCTCAACCTCTGTCTTTCTAACGTAAATAATCCTAACCTACTCAACCTCTCTTCATAGCTAGCGCCCTCCATACCAGGCAACATCCTGGTGAACCTCCTCTGCACCCTCTCCAAAGCAACCACATCCTTTTGGTAATGTGGCGACCAGAACTGTGCGCAATATTCCAAATGTGGTCGAACCAAAGTCCTATACAACTGTAACATGACCTGCCAACTCTTGTACTCAATACCCCATCAGATGAATGAAAGCATGCCGTATGCCTTCTTGACCACTCTATCCACCTGCGTTGCCACCTTCAGGGTACAATGGACCTGAACACCCAGATCTCTCTGTGCATCAATTTTCCCCAGGGCTTTTCCATTTACCATATAGTTCGCTCTTGAATTAGATCTTCCAAAATGCATCACCTTGCATTTGCCTGGATTGAACTCCATCTGCTATTTCTCCGCCCAACTCTCCAATCTATCTATATTCTGCTGCATTCTCCGACAGTCCCCTTCACTATCTGCTACTCCACCAATCTTAGTGTCATCTGCAAACTGCTAATCAGACCATCTATACCTTCCTACACATCATTTATGTATGATCTATCTCTGCATGCTTCATTATTTCATTAGGGCACCACAACATTTCAGCCATGTGCATACGTCAACCTCAAGAAAAGGTCATGTGTTGATGGTTTGCAATCCTTTGGAGGAGACGTCAAAGTGAAACCCTGTCTGCCTCCTCGGGTAGGTAACTCACCAACACCTCTAAAGCAGCCAGGGATGGGCCATGAATGCTGGCCCAGCCAGCAATGCCCACATCCCACGAATTAGTTTTCTTTTAGAAAAGTGAAAGATTTCAGTACAATATTTTGAAACTAAGCAGAGGAATTATCCCCATTGTCCTGGTCGGTATTGTTTCTTGCGTCACGCGCTCAAAAGCAGACTGTGTACAGATTTACAGCTGTGTTTCCTACATAACTACACTTCAAAAATACCTTTAGTGGCATTTAGGATGCCTGTTGATCAGGAAAGGTGCTGTATAAATGTAAGTCATTCTTTTCTTTGATGTTGTATAGCAATATAAATATTATGGGTACCGTTCCTTTGTGGCCCTGGTACTGCTACAACTGAATTTGTTGTTTTGTGAAAATAAAACTCATGTCTTTTTTTCTTTCAGATTGGCCAATCAGAGGTGTACCTCATAAGTCCTGACACGAAGAAGGTGACGATTGAGAAAAATTTCAAAGAAATTTCCTTCTGCTCTCAGGTGAATATGATCATTCTGGTGTAGTTATCATCTCTAAGTGCCAAGCTGTATAACAAAAGTGATTTAATTTCCCGGCTTTGGTCTGAAGAAACAATAATAAGTGTGTGGAAAATGAGTATTTTCATGTTGGAACTGTTAATTACATTGAAAGTTGAGGGTGTGGAGCAGTGAAATGAAAGTTTGGACCACAATTCTAACAGCAGACCTACAGTGGCCAGATCAAATCTGTGACAGTAGGTGTCAGAGCTGCCTGGCCCATTGATTTCATTGGCTGTGTCCTGAGAAACTAATAAATAGAAAGAAATGACTGCCTTGTCTTTAAACTAATATGCAAGATTAATTTATTCTAGATGCTGAAGTATTGATTGATTTTGCTTCATTTAATTTAAGTATCCTAGTAATCCTATTTATCTTATTTTGTACAATGGATGTTTTTCCTTTCTCTTCCACTGTATTGCAATTCATATATTGAAATTTATAATTGATCTTCCAAACTGAAGTCACCTTACAATGTTGAGCGTGTGGAGGAAGAATCAAAGTTAATACTTCAAGCCAATGATCTTCTATCAGAACTGACAAAAAAAAATTAGAAATGGAGTGGATTTTAAGTAAGTGAAAAGAAGCAGGGAGGATTGAAACAAGTAGAAGGGAAAGCTATGATGGGTGGAAGACAGGAGAGCTTAAATTGCAAAAAGGACAATGCAGCAGGTATTTTCAAAAGGCAATGTTCAGAATCCTGGAAGGAAAACAGGAAACTGTTTGACATATGGATGGCATCATAGTGCATGGAGCACAGAAGGAACACAAACAGAGGGTGAGGGATGTGTTAAAGACACGACAGACTGCTGTCCTTGAGTTAATTAGAAATCCCAGTTCTCCAGAATGACCATTGCATTCCTAGGACACACTGGGTCCAGTCAACGAAGTGGGAAAGTTTATCCCAAGATTGATAGTCTTACTCAACCCACCCGGGACCTTTTGAGAAAAGCTGTTGGAATCAGGAATGTAAGATTAAAAAATTACCCCCTTCTGATGTTTCAGCAGAATACAATCCAGACTTCTACACTATAGTAGCCACAGATGCATCACCCACAGGACTAGGAGCAGCTCTTATTCAAGTATAAATGTTTCAAAATAAAATTTAGTTGATATCAAGAACTTCAGAGACTGAGTAGAGGGATATAACCAGAGAGAAGGAAGCATTAGCAGTTACATGAGGATATGAAAGGGACTGACATTTCAAGTCAAAATTGGTAACTTTATTAAGATAGAAGAAAATTTCAAAAATGTCTGTGTCAACAAAGATCAGGCTTGGGCTGATGAAGTGTGACTGGCAGGCAAGGCACAAGTAATAACAGAATCACTCTATAGTTCATAAATGGATTGAGCAGAAGCAGCTGATCTTATTCTTGGAGAAGAAGCAGTGTCTTATTCTACAGCAATCATCAGCAAACTTGGTGCAGCACAAAACATCTGCCAAAGACGACTGCAAGGTCAGGCAACATTGTCATGTTAAAAATTAATATTCAAAAGACCAAAATGCAGAAAAGATACCACGAGCAGAAACAATATTTGACAAAATTGGAAGGTTTATTGGTCTATGATTATGGAATGGTCAGACTAAAGTCAATGCGAAGGGAAATTCTCTCGAAACCCAACAGGGCACCTAGTTATCACAAAGTGCAGGGTGAGAGCTCGCATTGTGTTGGCCAGGCATTTTGAAAGACGTGCAAGATTACCTTTCTACCTACACAGTGTGCACCCATAAACAGCTAGGTACCTTCAGAGCCAATGATTTCATCAGGTTTTATGGAAAAGTCACGGGAATGGCTAACAACAGCTTGTTCATCTTTACAGGGATGATGTTTTTACTCCCAGTTGACTCTCATTCGAGGTTGATTGAAGTGACAAGACTTCATTTAGCCACAGTAGTCTCTGCGATATGCTATTTCTGATAACAATTAGTACCGGACAATTTGCCTTGATTTACAAAGTAGGATTTCAGGAAATTCACTTTGATGACAGCCATTAACCAGGTGACAAGTTCTCCATTCCGTCTTTGATCAAACAGAGACAAAAACAGCAGTAAAGACAGTGAAGTCACAGATGTGTAAGGATCCAGACTCGACTCTGTTACGGAGCAACACCATTGAATAATGGTACTTGCCAGTGGAACTTTTAATGGGGAGGAGGTTAAGAACAGGTGGACCAGTTTTAGAAAGCAGCAGAGGTGGTAAAACTCCAGGCACAGGAAGCTGGGGAATACTGGCAGGTGCTGTGCAGGCAGGGACCTGCAGGTCTTGCTGAATGTGATGCAGAAGTGGGACCCCCTCTTCCTGCAGGACCAGCAATGGAGGCCCTGACACCAGACCGTGCCAAACCGATCTGAGGCTGCCACCCAGGTTAAAGCAGCCCTTTGGGTTCAACTTCTGCAGCAGCCACAGATACGGAGAGGTGAAAACTGTGGATATATGTGGGTCTCTCTACCTTGCAGACCATAAGAAAATATCAGATACCAGCTTTGAGCAGACTTGAATTCAGTACTGTGACATCATTGGCACTCATGCAAATTGTTGTGTATTTTTTTTGTCACGGTAAGCATGTAAATGTTAGTTTCATGCTTCATTTTACCAAATGAATTATTTCAGCAGCTGTTAATTTTTGAGACAGTAAGCCCTAACCAGATCAATATTTGTGGCAAAATGAAGACACAAAATTGAAGCTTGTCATAAAATGTTACACCGCAGCAAAAAAGCCATTTAGCTCATTAACTCTGCACTAATGCATTTTTCCGTGTAATTGAGCTAATCCAAATGCTTTTGCCCTACTCCCCACAAGCCTTTATTATTCCTGTTTGTATGAGTGAGTAAAATTTTAGTTACTCAACAGTTCTCACACATGCAGAGTGCAATCTGTATACTCTACATATCTTAGTTTTAATCCTGTTGAAAAGAAATCAATAAATTATGAACTAACTTTCTCGCTTCTCTATAAATAGGGAATTAAGTATGTGGATCACTTTGGATTCATCTGCAGGGAGAGTCCAGACAGTGGAAGCTGCCATTTTGTCTGTTATGTGTTTCAGTGTACGAATGAGGCGTTGGTGAGTAAATACCATTCTTTTGGTGCGAAATTGCAAAGACAACACTGGCCCAGGTTTTAAGTGTGAAATCAATGAAAGTAACTAATGTATGGATTCCATGCTAATGTATGGTTTAAGTTTTGTTGTGGGTCAGTGAAAGCTCATCTTCTGAGGTGATACTGCAGCAGATTGTTTGTCAGACTTTGTCAGCTTCAGTCTATACCTAAATTGGGAGTGATTGGCACTGGCTAGATCTTGAGGTGAAAATATGTTTAATTCTTCAATATGACCTTTCATACCTTCAGCACAAACTTGTATTTTCCATGTTCAATGATACTGTTTATGTGCAAAGTTTTGAAGGGTTTTGAAATTGGAGTATAATCTAGATTCTATTGAATGTGGAGGTCACCTTTCATTCTTAGAACCTAATTTCAGTGAACATCCTTGAAAATTAGATTTTTTTAATCCTGTCTAATCTTGGTATTTATTTGATGTTGCTGCCTGCAATGCTGGAATGAATTGGTTTCTTTTTAATTAAGTTATAGACTCGTACACCGCGGACGTAGATCCTTTGGTCCAACTCATCCTTGCTGACCAGATATCCCAATCTGACCTAGTCCCATTTGCCAGCCTTTGACCCATATCTCTCTAAATCCTTCCCATTCATATACCCATCCAGATGCTTTTTAAATGTTGTAATTGTACCAGCCTCCTCCACTTTCTCCGACAGCTTATTCCATACACACACCACCCTCTGAGTGAAAACACTACCACACAAGTCTTTTTTAAATCTTTCCCCTCTCACCTTAAGCCTCTAGTTTTGTACTTCCCCCATCCTAGAAGGAAGACCTTGGATAATCACATTATCCATGCCCCTCATGATTTAAATAAACCTCTACAAGTTCACCCCTCAGCCTCTGACCCTCCAGGGAAAAAGTGTCCCAGCCTATTCAACCTCTCCCATAACAAACCTTCCAGTCCCAGTAACGTCCTTGTAAACTTTAGTAGGTGCATTAAAGATTTAACAGCATTCTTCCTGTAAAAGGGTGACCAAAATTGTACACAGTATTCTAAAAGTGGCCTTGCCCATGTCCTGTACAGCCACATCATGATATTCCAACTCCTATACTCAATGCATTAACCAGTGAAGGTAAGCATGCCAAATGCCTTCTTCGCTACCCTGTCTACTTGTGATTCTATTTCTAAAAACAATGCACCCTCACCTCTAGGTGTCTTTGTTCAACAACACTCTCCACAGCCCTACCATTAAGTATATATGTCCTGCCCTGATTTGCCTTTCCAAAATGCAACACCTCACATTTATCTAAATTAAACTACATCTGCCACTCCTTGGCCGATTGACCCCTCTGATCAAAGCCCCATTGTACTCTGACGTAATCTTCTTCACTGCCCACTACACCATCTATTTTGATGTTGTCTGCAAACTTAGTAACCATACCTCCTATATTTAAATCCAAAAAATTTATATAATGACGAAAAGCAGTGGTCCCAGCACCAATCCTTGTGGCAGGATTCCAGTCTAAAAAACAGCCCTTAACCACCACCCTTTGTCTCCTACCTTCAAACCAATTTTGTATACAATTGGCTAGCTCCCCCTGGATTCCATGTGATCTAACCTTACTAACCGGTCTACCATACAGTCCTGTACCTAATACTGTGAGGGTCTTGTAATGTAGTGGTAGTGTCGCCATTACAGAGCCAGAGGTTCAGGTTCTAGTTCCACCTGCCCCAGAGTTGTGTCCTAACATTTCTGAATAGCTGTCATCCTCCACAGTGCAAATATGACATTGAGGTAAACTCTGCTTTGGGATTATGGTGATAGGCTCAAAGGTTCTCCTTCATTCCCTTTCCAGGCCCAGTGCACTCTCTTATATAAAGCTGAATTTCACAGGCGATTCGAGCAGGTTAGCTAGAAACTCTGAAAAATGAGGCAGTACTTTCTGATTGAAGTAGTCACCAACAGAACATCTAAGAAATTTGAGCCAGTTGTGAAAACCATTTGTGAAAAAGATCTGAGATCTGTGATATGTTTGAGTGGTTTGTTTTATGTTTATCCAAATTCTATTTAAATAGTCTCTGGTAAGCGATAAGGTATTTTATTCTAAGGTGCTTCTCTTTCAGCTTAAACCAGCTGTTCAGATGGTGCATTGAGCCCTCCTAAGCAATACCTCCTGATCTGTACAGGGTTAAACCACTTCCCTGTGCATCCCCACATCCTCTTTTTATCCTCACTGCATGTTTTCACCCATCTTCCTACCCTGGCCATCCTCTTCCATGTAAAGTCCTCAGTCGTGGACGGTTGCTAATCATAACTGTCTGCACTTTTCAGTGTTGTGGTATTTCATTGCAATGTGGCAACGCAAAGAGGGCAGACCCTGAAAAATAAATCTCTGCCAGTATAGGGACTGAGCCCATTGCCATTGCTGCTTCTTGGCCTTCTGCTCTAACCAACTGAGCCAACCTGTGCCAGGCTTTTGTTCTCCTGAAGTAAAGCCTTAAGCTCTAACTGAGTATCTCCACCATGGTATCTTGATACCATGAGTTCCATGCACATGTGCTATCCCATCATCCAAGTTCTGCCATTTTCTGCACCCTCTAACTGAGGAGCGCACCGTATTACACCATCTGCAGTAAATTGCCATGTATTTTAATGGGGAAGAGAGTCAATGTTGCAGCAGTTCAAGAGATGCCCTTCCAGTGTTAGTTTTTTCCTCTTCAAGTTGCTTGGGAATATTTAGTTTGTGCATTTGAACAGAGAAAACGGAAGTGTGTACTTGAAGTACAGGCCTCGGCACCCACCGAGCATGTGCCAACAAGAGCTAATTGTCAGGGAAAGGAAGTCCGAGTAAGTTGTTAAATTTAAAGTAATACAATAATCCATGGTGTCCTGTTTAGTTTGTTTTTGTATGTCTTTTGTGATGGGTAACAGCATTCTTATAGGATTTCCCAGACTTTCCCAATTTCTTGTGACTCGGCGTCCACCTGCAAGGGGTTGTCAGCTCAGCCTGTTTGTGCAGATCAGGATGAATGGAGTGTTTCTTGTCTCCAGCCCAAACACCCACTTACTTTCCTACGACTTTTCTCCTGAGGCACCAAAACTGGAAGAACCTCATCAATCTTGACAAACAATGGAATCAAAGATTATTGTCCTTAGACAAGGAAGTGGAGTTGAAACCTCAATCAGCTGTGATCTTGTTGAACAGTGGAGGATTCTTCAGAGGCAGAATGGCTGCTTCCTGCTCTTAATTAGTCTTTTTGAACCTGGACACAGGAGTTGTGCTAGAAAGTGGAGAGCCAAAACGCAGATGGGGTCAAGCTGAAGATAGGTGGAAGTGCACATTCATTGTGGGTAAATCTGAGGACTACCCTGTCTCCCTATGGGAATTTAGTGATTCCTTCTTGTGGAGGCTAACGGAGAGATGCTAGAAATCAGCCCTGCCCCCTCCAATGGCAGAAGTCCATGAAAATGTGCGGGATCAGCCTTGCAATAAGTGCAATCCATATTCCAACCAGTTGCCTTGGGGAAAGTGTGCCTAGAATATTTTGTCACTAAAGAGCTGAATGCTGTATCTGACTGAAGACAAACAATTGGACCAACTTGTGACCGAGGAGGAGATGAAGTAGCATTATGTTCAAAAGAAAATGTTATGCCATGTCTTTGTCAACAAAATGTTTGTTATTTAAGCAATCTTCCTACCCTAGAGCCATAGCCCTGAATGCTGTGACACTTCAGGTGCTCATCCAAGTACTTTTGTAAAAGTTGTAGGGTTACCCACCTCAACTACTCTTCCAAGCAGTGTATTCCAGACCTCCACCTCTCTCTAGGTAAACAAAAAAATCTTGTGTCAAAATTCCCTCTAAACTTCCCATCTTTCACTTTAAAACTGTGTCCCCATGTTCTTGACCCTTTGTCCAAGGGGAGCAGCTGCATTCTACCCACCCTGCCCACATGCTTCATAATTTCAAGGCTGAGTTTTCTTGTTTTACCGATTTGATACTAAGCGCTGTTTATAAAAGATGGTTGTGGGGTAGTTGGGGAGAGGGTTGTGAGGGTCCACCGCCTGGAGCCTTGATTTCACTGTAGACTTTAGGGTTCATTAAATACGCCAGCTAGACCCAGCTGTATCAAGTGGACTTGCTACTTTAGGCTGGGAAAATGTTGCGGCAAGGTGCTCCACAGAGAGTGGAGGACAAGAGCCAATAGAAGAATTGTAAGAAATTGCCAATAGATGTAAAAATTCAATCAGTGTTCCAAGGTCTTTACAGGGGATGTATGTAAGTGATGGAATGCAGGGTGAGGTGGCCCATGGTCAACCATCTCCCCCAAAAATGACCTTTACTCGCTTCATGCCACTGATACAGGGCCTATACCACTCTTCTCATGGTTCTTGAGTTGGTGCCAGTAGAGGCGAAAAGTGGGAGACCGGTCAAGAACCAAGTTTGTGGTGGCAGGTAAAAAATGGAAATAGACTGCAGTGCTGGTAGAGACAGGAGTGGCATATAGGTCTCCTCGATTTCTCTTCGTTCTCTACTGGAGTATTCACGATACTGGAGCAAAGTTTGGAGTAGGCAAACCATTATGACCTCCATGTAATTTGCATAAAGTAATTCTGTCTTTTTGTTGCATTAAACAGGAGAGGGAGGAGAATAAAAACAGAAAATGTTGAGAAACTCCAGGTATGCTGACATCTATGGAGAGAGAAACAAATTTAACGTTTTGAGCCCAGGGGCTCCTCTTCAGAGTGGTGGTTTGGGGGGAGCAGAACTAGTCCTGAAGAAGGGTCACTGGACTAGAAACATTAACTGTGCTTTCTCTCCACAGATGCTGTCAGACCTGCTGAGTTTCTCCAGCAGTTTCTGTTTTTGTTTCAGATCTTCAGCATTTGCAGTTCTTAGTTTTATTTTAGGGAGAATAACCTTTTGTATTCTTCACTTCTGGTGACCAGAATTTCTAAATGGGAGCCTGTCGATCACCAGTTAACTCTTCATGCTGGTGGCTTTCCATAAGTAATAAGGTATTTTAACATTACTTTGTTAACTGACTGGATTGAGGTTATTGTGGAAATGTGCCTTTTCCATTTTTGCACTGAAAAACAATCACCACTCTTTATCCCACAGGTCGATGAAATTATGTTGACTTTGAAGCAAGCATTCACTGCAGCTGCTGTCCATCAAAACATGAAGATCCAAGCTCAACTGTGTGAGGGATGTCCACTGACGTGTCTTCACAGATTGTGTAAAAAGATAGAGGGTAGTGTGTTTTTAAAACCTTCAACATCATCTTTGGTTTTCCTGCTCACCCCTATACTGCTGCTACTGTGCAATGGTATTGTTATATATCTGGAGTAGAAACATTGACCACATCCATTAACTTAGAGTGGTACGAAGAACTGCTTGGCCCAAGGATTACAATTGCTTCCTCAAGTTGTTAGTTGTTAGTTAAGTCAGGTCTTCCAGGGTTGACACACATTGTCTATTTTGGACTAATACAGTGATGAAAGCAGTTTGTTCCCTACTGCAAAGTTAACAGAATTTAGAACTGAAATGGAAGCATTTTATAACTGTGAATGAAAATATTCCAATACTATTGCAGCTATGAGGACATCTGCCTCATGAACCTATGAACTACAGCTAGGTGCCCTGTGGAATCTAATTTGCCAAAAGCTTTAAAATTTATGAAAAATTAACTGATCTAACCGGTAACATCACTTCAATGCTCTTCTTACATTCCTTTCTTTCTGATTCGCACAAAGGTTGCTATTGGAATGACTAATGGAAACCAAGCAGCCATTATTATACATGATGAAGTAAAAATGCAGACATAAGTGTAGCATAATTCAAGAGTCCGAGAATTTCTGTTGGAATAAACAAATGACAAGATATTTTCTTTGGATGCCACAGGCTGTATAAAGAATATTAAGTTTATTTTTAATTCAAACTTTTCAATTGTAAATTTTCACCTGTGTTTCTGAATATCTTTTGGGCTGTACAATATTACCTATTAGCTATGGCATAAACAGTAGTACTCCTGTCCGTGCACTTCCGTCGGGCCCAGTGAAGAACCAGGTTTTGCAGAGAATGAACTTTATCTATCGCAGGATCAAAAATTAATATAATTGAAGATCAGTTATGCCATTTATATACTCCTCTTAATGCATACTGTTAAAACTGAAAGCACATGAAAAAAAAATTATATCTGGTAGTCTTTTTGTGGCTGGGTTAAATTAAGTTTTCCAAGACTTATCAAAGAGCAGTGTTTAGACTGGTAGCTTCACCTCCTTATTTCTCTTCCTACCTGGAATTGATAACCCGTTCATCTGAGAGTAGGAGTTGAACTGGGTTCAAAGTATGAAATAATGCTGAAAGAAGTTGTATAACATTTTGTTCAGAAGTGAATTCAGTGCTAGAAATAAAATTACTCAATTGTGCTCTAATGATTTTTGTTTTTACTTTCTGGTAGGCCTACCCCCTTCAAAAGCAAAGGTGGAAATTCAGAAACATTTATCAACATTTGACAACAGAGATCAAGGATCAATCTTCGAGGGAGTTCAGGTAATTTTGTCCTACTTATTAAACATAAATGTGAAAGGTAAACTTTAGACTTTATAGTTTTAAAATCAGAATGCCCAAAAAAAAGTGTGTTTTGTGTTAGACTTTTAACTTTCTAAAAATTCATTTGCGATGTGGGCACTTATTGCCTAGCCCTAATTGCTCCTGAGGGGACAGTCCATGTGTTGCAGGTTGACCCACAATGGCGTTGGGAAGCGTATACCAGGATTTTGAGCCATCCTATTGAAAGAGCAAGTAAGGATATTGCAGGACTTAGAGGCAACTTGCAATTGGTGGTGCTCCCATGCACCTTTAGCCTTTGTCCCTCTCCTTGGTGCAGGCTCTGGTTTTGGAATGTGCAATGGAAGGGGTTTGTGCCAAAGGTGGACGGAGGGAAATTTAAGGCAGTGGACAGGATGCTGAACAACCTGGCTGCTCTATTCTTTGTTGTAAAATTTCTTCAGTGTTGGAACTTCACTGTTGCAGGGAAGTGGAGAGTGTTCAATAACACCTCATGACTTGTGCCTTGCTGGATCTGATTTGGAAAGCAAGAACCGAGTTATACTGTATAGAATTCCTAACCCCTGACCTGCTCTTGTAGCAATAGTATTCATGTGGCTGATCCAGTCAATTTCAGTGATTGTAATGTCATTGAATGTCATGGGGAGGTTGTTAAATCTCTTATTGGGGATGGTCATTACCTGACACTTGTGTAGCAAGTAACAGACATCCTACATATTACCTGAAGACTGACTGACTGTTATTCAGTTCTTGCTGAACAAATTATTTTTAAACAACCTCTTCAGCTATGTTATGCCATATTTCTAGAGCAACTGGGATTTCTGTCCCTGAGGTAGGACTCCAGTTCTTATTGAATGTGGGCATGGAGTGCTTCATTATCTGGAAGTTTAGAGAGGAACTGAACGCACTGCAATCTTCAGTAAGCATTTGCACTTCTGACCATAGATTGGAGGGAAGGTCGTTGGCAAGACACCTGAAGATGGTTGTGTCCAGGATACAACCCCAAGGATATTTTGCAGTGATTTCCTGAAGCTGGGTTAATTGGCCTCCAGTAATTAAAGCCTTCTTTCGTTGTACAAAGTACAATTCCAACCAGTAGAGAGATTTCCCCCAATTCCTTCTGACTTTAGTTTCACCAGGACTTGATGTTGTATGCTTCCAATGCTGTCAACAACAATCATTCTCACCTCACCTCACCTCTGTAATTCTTCACTTCTGTCTACGTTTGGACCGAACACGAATCCAAACTGAGGATCAGGTCATGAATGTGGAAGTGCCATTTGATAGCACCTTCCATCAATCTGTGGATGTCTGGATATGTCCTGCTTCACAAGGCCTGGACACACTTTTTGACATTGGTATCCCCATCTGACAATGTTATAACTGTAGTGGAATATTTTGGACAGAGCGAGGCATTGAAATAGGTGTCATCATTCAGGACCTTCAAGAAGAATATCTATTTCCAATATCGAGAGCCAGATATCTTTGAAGACTCATAGGTCTGAACAGTTGGCACCAGTTGTCAGACCAATAAAGTTTTTGAAGTTTGAATCAGTGGAGTACTATTTTTATATTGGTAACTGACCTCTTTAATCTTTAATCCTTGACCTGTTGCCACCTAAGGTATCTTGAAGTAGAGAATTTGTTTTGGCTGTCTGTTGAAAATTCTGAGACCTACTACACTATTGATTTCATCTTGTCCAAGTGACTATTATTTACCAATGTTTCCTAAGCCCTGTCCGCTTGTCAGTGTGTCATTTAGTGCCCTTGGCATGTCTCACTAAAACTCTGGAATAGCTGAAGTTTTGCTGAGGTTCCTGTTTTTTAAAGATGTTGTGGCGCTGTGAGCAAAAGGAAGAGGCAATGTTTTCTTCCTTGTCTTTGCATTTCCGTAGCCTCATTAACATTGTAAATGGCGTTAGGCCCCTTACTGGAGCATTATCAGGTAAAAGCTGACACCTATCCAGAAGGAAACACCAGTAAAACTGGTGAATGACAAATACTGGCCCAGCTCGTCGTGTATGCTTCAGAGAAAAAATAGTGGAGCTTCAGTCTGATTAGTAGATTATTTCCACATATTATTGTATTTTCTGTCTGGCTTAAGCCAGTGCTGATGATATTGGGACTGCTAACTAAAATCTTTATGAAAGAATCTGGTTGTAATGAAGGCTGCAGTAGAGGAGGAAAAGGTGGAGTGGTTGAGGGAATTGATTGCAGTGCGCTGGCCCTAGATGGCTGAAGCACAGAAGGTATTGTTGGGGTGGATGAGAATGGAAGGGGGGTAGTGGTTTGGAAGGATGCAGAGTTGGTGGGCTGTAAATAATTACAGGGATACAGTCCAGCAAAATCATGGGGGGATTTGAATGAGTGTGAGAATTGTAAAATGTAGTGATAGTCAGTAAATCATAAGAAACCGGGACTTCCTGTGGTTTAGTATAGCAGCTGCAAAATGTATCAGTTTGAGTTGATGGAAGATGGGAGCCTGGACGGGAGATTGTCCTCAAACTTCACTATTTCAACAATGAGCATAGAACAGGATTTTGTGGCCTGAGATAAGGTCTGGAGTCTCTACTTAGAGATAAATAGGACATTCAGTATTCTGGTTTACCAAACAACAGTAACAATGAAGGGATGGAGTCAGTGTCAGGGCAGATTATAGAGTGTTGTGAGGCCTTGATGATCACAATCCTCGTCTCCGCATAGACACACACCCCTCTGTAGAGACAGAGATAAGACTATACTGTGCCGCCCATACTGTTTAATGTCTTCAATAATGATGAATTAATGATACTACGAGAACGAGCTTTGAGCTGTCTATGATACCGTTTCTGAAGTGACTTTTTAACTGATGATACTTCGTTCTAGCTGAATCTAATGCACGTACCCACTGTTGTTCTTAGCTTCAATAAGTGAGGGTTGACACTGAAGTGTTGACTAAGTGTCCAAATGCCCATGTCCTCAAATCTGTTGGTGAACTTATTTTTATGTCACCATTGCTCACTTTCTTACCCCATCATAAATTCATCATTACAAAAATTTATCCTCCATTCTCCCATCTCCATTACTAAAACTGCAGGCTATGATGCCCTATGATTCAATTACAGTCATGGTGTGAGTCATAGTACTTCTGTGATTTTATGCTGTGGACTTGATGCTGAGTTCAGATTCCCACTCGATCATTAGATTCCTTACATGGACCTGAATGAATGACAAGTTGCTTTTGCCCCTTTGGTATCAGATGTGTTTCTGAACAGTTGACATCATTGTGGATTGTGATTATTTGAAAATATTTAATCAATTTTAATGACTGCTCATAGAAAATGAAGCCAAAAAATGAATTGGAAGAAAATGAACTGGTTCTATCAATGCTGCGACAGCTTTATGAAGAGAAACAGAAGCTGCACACCCACAATGGAGATGCCAAGCAGGTACAGAGTCCTCCTGATTGCGGGCAATAATCTCCTTTAAAACTAGTTGCTAAATGTGGATTAACAAATCTAATTGTTGCCTAATCAACAGAGACGCTTGATTTCAAAAGTTTGAAAAAACTACAGCAAGAACCAATGCATACAAAGCAAATTCTGCTTATTTGCTTGACACAAGTTACAGTCCAACAGGTTTTTTAAAATCACCAGCTTTCGGAGCGCTTCTCCTTCATTAGGACTTCACCTGATGAAAGAGCAGCATTCCAAAAGCTTGTGATTTTAAATAAACCTGTTGGACTAAACCTGGTGTTGTGAGATTTCTGACTTTGTCCACCCCAGTCCAGCACCGGCACCACTACATCATACTTATTCTGTAATGTAATGGTCATCCTAGGATGCCTTATTTGAAGCTGCCCAAGTGTTGGAGTCATTCAGTTTGCATCCTGCCCTATGTGAAGCATTTGCACTGGAACAAAATTTTTGCTGATCTTGTTTCTCTTTTCAGACCCCACAAAGCTGCTCTCAGCCTTCAAATATGAATGGACAGCAGTCTCTGTCCGGCCGCTTTAGACTGGACCATCTCAAGACCAAGGCAAAAAAATCATTGGCTGAATCTCTGGAGAATATTTTATCAATGGTGAGCATTCTGCTGTTTCTTAACTATAATTACTTGGAGTGTTTGGTAGAATGTGGAGAGTTTGTCTCTGAAAACTCATTTTGCCCGTCAATCAGCAAATTAAAATACTTCCTTGATAACAAGATGTAGAGCTGGATGAACACAGCAGGCCAAGCAGCATCATAGGAGCAGGAATAGGTTGGTCCAGCAGCATTTTCCCCTTCATGCCAACTGCTATTTATGTTTGTTATTATAGAGGTTGTCCTCAAGGCTATGGCTATAAATCAGCACCAATATTTTACAAATTAAGTAAAAGTAATCGAACTGTAGATGCTCAAGTCAGATTAGTTATTGTTGTTCATCTGCTAGTTTTCCAGTGTCTTTTCCACGTCCATTGCTTTCACTCAAGTATTATCACTAGCTCAAATCTCCTTCAATTTATTTTAATGTTTTTGGTTAAAAGTAAAATATTTTGAATAAAATGAATGTTTTCATATTAGAGAAGCAAAAATCTGTCAGTTCACTAGGAAGCTCAGAAGAACAGAGGGATCTTGAGGTGTCTGTCCACAAATCCCTGAAGGTGGCAGCACAGGTTAGCTAAGAAGGCATACGGGACGCTTGCCTTTATCGGTTGAGGCATAGATTACAAGAGCAGGGATGTTACGTTGGAGTTGTATAGGACTTTGGTTATTTCATAGCTGGAGTACTGTGCGCGGTTATCGCCACCATACTATATGGAGGATGTGATCACACTGGAGGTGCAGAGGAGATTCACCAGGATGTTGCCTGGGATGGAACATTTCAGCTACAAAAGAGGCCGGATAAGCTTGGGTTGTCTTCGAGAGCAGAGAAGGTTGATTGAGGACCTGATAGATGTGTATCAGGTTATGAGTGGCGTGGACAGAATGACTAGAAGACAGCTGTTCCTTTTAGTTGAAGGGTCAAGAGCAAAGGGGCATAATTTTTAAAGTGAAAAGCAGGAGATTTAGAGGAGATTTGAGGAAGGCATTTTCTTCCATAGGGTGGTGAGAATCTGGAATGCTATGCTTAGAAGGGTGGTTAAGGTGGATAACCTCACAATCTTTTAAAAAGTACTTGGATGAACACCTGAAATGTCATAGTGTTCAAGGCTGTGGGCCTGGTGTGAGAAAATGGGACTAGTGTAGGTAGTGCTGTTTATTTGGATGTACAGGCTCAATGGGCCAAAAGGCTTCTGTACTGTATGATTTCATGATAAGTTTAATAAACTTCTGACCCCAGATTGCTATTCAGTTTAAGTGGTTTTTTAACAACTGCATAGAACATCTGAAATAAAAACGGAAAAGCAGGAAGAGAAAGATCATTGACATGATGTATGAAATATTTCTGTCATCCAGATGCTACCTGACCTCTGCTACCTAATATACTGACTTTGCCTGAAATTTCTATTTTTATTTCAAATTTCCAGCATCTTCAATATTTTGACTTGTGTTTAATGCACTGCCTTTTCTTTCCAAGTTCTGTTCTTCTCTTTTTTTTTTATCCCCCCCTTTTTGTCTCTTTAATCTTATTCATTTTATTCCACATTTCCAACAGCGTCAATATTTTTATTTTGTACACAACCTAAACCTAGCCTCTGTAACCCAACAGGTTTAAAACTGTTCATGAGTCAGCCCAATAGACAATGGCCCTACCCCCTTTTTGGGAGATCATGCCTCACTCCTTGTATACGAGGCTAACATCCCAGCTTTGGGTCAAATTGGTCAGGATCAACAGATCTCTATTCAACGATCCATGAATGTAATTTGGGAACAGTTTGGGTTCTTGTGTACTGCCCCCTTTGGGTACTGCTCACTTTGTGGCAAGGGAGTAAATTAGTGAGGGAAAAATTAACAGTTGTGACTGTAGAAAGGAGCTTTTGCATTTTAGTTCATTCTGATTGATGTTGAATTCATAATCATTCACACTGCAGGAAGGGTCTGACATCAATGAAACGATAATGGTTTTGTGATTTTTTGTTTTAATTCTTACAACTCTTTTGCTCGCTAAAAGAGAAGGGAATAAAGGGGCACATCCAGAGCAGCAAGCCTGTTGTAATGACCAGTCTCTCAGTTTTGCCACGTTTTTCCAATTGCCTGGGTACTGGTCTGAAGCTTAATGGTTGACTAGTGCCATCTACAGGAACTGAATTAGTTATTCAACACAATTCTTGACAGAACCAAAAAGAAAAGAAATTTCAGGTTTGGCAGCACCTGTGGAGAGAAAACAGAGTTAACATTTTGGGTCCAGTGATCCTTCCTCAGAACACTGGTAGCTAGGAAAATGTCAGTTATAGGGAGGGGGTAAGGGGTAAACGATACGTGGAGATAGTGCCCAAGGAAAGGGAAGAACAGTTGGAAAGACAGTAGAGTGGATAACAATCAGTCTAGGAGAATGAATGGCTACTAATGAATAGAATAGAGATTTATCATTATGTATTGTTCAATTAACGGTTCCTGGGCTCGGAAAGCCAATTAAGGAACGACGGAATACTCTGAAGGTGCAGCCGGCATGAGACTGCCAAGCCAGGCTGCTGGAATCCCCCTTTTTGCTGGGCTGGGAGAAGCCTCCTGTTCCCCATGCACTGGCACCGATCCGCAATTTGTCCTTTTCGCCGATGTTTCCGCTCTTCAGGCGCTCGGGCCTAGCTGCAAACCTGGAGCCTCAACCTAGCTTTCGAGTCCTGGCATTGATGCCACTGCTGCCGGAGGCCTGCTCCTTCACCCACCACTCTCCAAGCTTGAAAGAAAAGGAAACAAAGTAAAAGGAAAAAATAAAGAGAAAGCTGACCAGCAAATAAGCCCTAGGCTCAGCTCCCCTACTGGAGACTATGAATGGGAACTAACAGTGGCTAACAATGGGTAGTATGCAATAGCAGACCATGTGATATTAAGGCCTAGTGTGTGGGTCAGGACATGGGAGAAGATGCCTCAAGCCCTAAAATTGTTGAACCCGATACTGAGCCCAGAAGGCTGTAAAGTTCCCAAGCAGAAAATGATGTGCCGTTCTTCCAACTTGCAGTGAACTTTGCTGGAGCGCTGCAGCAAGCCTGAGACAGATGTTGGTCAGGGAACAGGATGTTGTGTTGAAGTGGAAGGCAACTGGAAGCTCAGGGTCTTTTTATTTGCGGGCAGAACTCGGGTGTTCTGCGAAGCGTTCACCCAATCTACGTTTCGTTCCCCTGATGTAGAGGAGACCACATGGTGAGCAGCATATGCTGTAGATTAGATTATGTGAAGTGCAGGTAAAGCACTGCTTCACCTGGAAGATATGTTTGGGTCCTTTGATACTGGGGAGAGAAGACGTCAATGGGCAGGTGTTTCACCTTTTGTGATTGCAGGGGAAGGTGTTGTGGGGTGGGTGGTGGTATTGGGAATGGACTAGGGTATCCTGGCAGGAATGGTCCCTGTGGAAGGCTGACAAGAAACGTCGACTCTCCTTTCTCACCATTAAATGCTGCCAGACCTGCTGAGCTTTTCCAGCAATTTCTGTTTTTGTTTCTGATTTCCAAAATCCGCAGTTCTTTGGGTTTTTTTTTTACAGTTATTGACACTACAGGTACAGAATGTAAAATAAACCTGGAGTTGTCTGCAAACTGGACACTTTCTGCATCAATTTTTTTAATAGAATATGATTTAAAGCTAAAAGTTAACCTGGATGTCTGGCTAGTTGCTGCATGGGCATGCTATGTCTCAAGACTAGGTCCTGACTTCCACGTATTGTTCTCTCCTTTGCTTCTTGTGATTCTTGGCCCGACCTGACCTGGCTTGACCCAAGCTACCCATGACCCAAATTACATAAGCTAAAATCCAGGAAGATCCTTAATCCAGCATGGTCCCTGTCCTGAGGATGCTGGCTTTGAAGTACTGTACTTGTACACATAATAAACACAAAACCTAGTGCTCTGTGGGAGCGTTCCACAGTCAAGAGTTGAAATTTTGGTAGACAAGGTTTTATTATAAATATATCATTGATTTTTGTAAACTAGTCCTAAGATTGCAGTATTATCTGGTACAATTTTGTAAAATATAGTTTACCTTGGCGAGCAAGTTTTGTAATTTATTTAAATTGATGAGCATGCAATACATGGTGTAATTTTTAGCATGAATTTGCTGATCGTTCTGAGGAACTGCTTTAATTCAGAAGCTTTTAAGTTAACGATGATATAAAGTGTAACAATTGTCTTTCTTACAAACATGAAGGTTCAAAAAGATGGGAAAAGCTTTCAACTCTAACTTCGATTTTCCCTCCATCTTTCCTCCTGGTCCGGGTCCTTGTCTTCATGTACCTGTTGATTGTGATCCTCGCTGAAAATTGAGGGAGCTGGATTTAATTTGGTGACAGGGGTCTCGCCAACTGGTTAGAGAATCAATGGGAACCCCACATTGCCTCGTTGAGGGTGGTCCAACCAAATTAAGTGTCACTCGGGCACTAAACTGGCCAGCACCAAGCCTTCCCTGGGACTTGGACCCAGGAGTAGAAAACCCTCCCTGTGCAGAGCAGTGTTGAGTGCCTGCCACTAAGGGATTTCCCCTCCTTACAGGGTTTGCTGAGTGCTTATAGCGAGGTACAGGAGAGATTTGCAACTCCACCTTAATCTCAAAGGTGTCTGTAGGTTCCAGTGAGCTCAGGGATAAATGGTGGCAATTAGTTCACAAATGAACCCAATTTACATCCTGGTGAGAGCGGGCATGTTTCTTGTGTCACCCTGTTTCAGTCTCCATCTTCATCCTGGAAGGTTGTCCTGCCACACACTCTCAGGTACAGTCTCTCTCCTGATTGAGGGGGAAAGATGCCATGTTCCCTGCTGGGATGAATTGGATGAAATTCCATCCATCGTTTGACCTGTGGATTTCCTTACTACTGCCCTTGAACCCTCTGCGATTTGTTGATACAAGGATTACTTATTTATGGAGAGCCTATCGTTTGTGTTTCTTGCTAAATTCTCCCTTTATCTTCAAATCCACCCAGTTGCAGCTACTTTCTAGGAGAGTGCTGTGCTCACATTTCTTGCTCTAACCCAACACTGCTAGGCGTCACCCCATCAGAGTTGAAGCAGGTATATGAATTCAGCTTGGAGTTGAGTATTAAGATTGCAAGGACAGCAAACGTTGTAGCTTAATGCTGCCATCTTTTGCTGCTAATGAAGTGGAGATAATAACATTTCCTTTCCCAGATCCAGTTTGAAATCCAGTAGGAGGTGTGTGAGAGATCCTTCTCATTTGCTGTCAGTGCGGGGGAATTTGTAGCCTGTGACAGGATAATCAGAAACATACAGTTTACCACAGGGGTCTGAGCTGAATCTGCTCAGTACAATGGATCATGATTGATCACCAAATAATATGTGGTCCGTTCCTTTGAGAATTACTGATTTTATGAAGTTCTAAATAACCTGATTTTCTCCATGCTGTATATTTGTTGTAATTTTGTTGTAACTATTTTGCATCTTGCCCTTGTAGGGAGGATCTAGACTCAAGAGCCAAACAATTGTTGAAAGTGCAGTGTCAGAAAAAACAATTTTAAGTCTTTCAAGCTCCAACCTACCCAAGGTGAGTTTTCCATCATTAATCTATACGAGGGGTGGTTCGAGTTGTATGTTTACTTATTGTTAAAGATGTAACATCTTTTTTTACAGTTGCTTTCCAAGCGAAACGCAGAATAGCTGCAGTCTTAAATAGAATGTGTAACAAAGCCCCTAATGTAGATGGTTTGATACCAATCTCATAGAATAATCAGGCAGAATGGTGACCACAATTAAAATGAAATGAACTATTTTATTACTTGTAATGTAACATTTTCTTTTACATCATGGTCCTCCTTCGCATTCTTGACTGTTGTTAAAAAGGGGAATCAAGAGTTGTAGGGATAAGGCAGGAGAAGGGAAGTGAGGATTATCAAATCAGCCATGATCCTATGGAATGGCGATGCAGATTTGACGGGCCGAATGGCCTACTTCTGCTCCTAAGTCTTATTTGATCAAAAGCAGAAAATACTTTCAGCTATCTAAAATTTTAATCTTTTGTAGAATGTTTTAACAAAAATTATTGTCTTATTTTGAATGTTTTTCTCCTTCTGAATCTGAAGCAAGTGGTTCAAACAGAGAAGTTGGAAACACTAGCAACCCTTTTCTTATTCCAAGAAGTTTGTAACATTTTATTTCAACATAGTCCTGTTACCTGCATTAGGAATTAAATTCTTTGTTAACTATTGATCACCCAAATTTCCTTCCTGTTCCTTATTAGCTGCGATTATTAATAATTCCCTCTCTTTTTAAATCTGCTGTCATCATTCCCTCGTCACAAAGCCTACCCTTGAACCCTTTATCCTAGCAAATTACTAACCTGTCTCCAACTTCCCTTTTCTCTGTCACATCCACGAACATGGTGTTTCCCAAATTCTTGCTTCCTTTCCCGCAGCTCCACATTTGAAGCTCTCCAGTCTGGATTTTGTTCCTGCCACAGTGCTGAAATAGTCTTTTTAAACAGTGGTCACTAACATCCTATTATAACTGTGACAACATTAAGATATCCCTCCTTATCGTTTGTTGACCTGTTGGCAGCTAGTGACATGGATGTTTACATCACCTTTGTCTGATACCTTTCCACAGACAACCAGCTGGATGAAACAGCTCTCATTTGGTTCAAATCTTATCTGTCAAGTTGAAGCCCAAAAATCGCCCACTTCTCTTCCTGCTGCTGAATTAGTTACATCTGGAGCTCCTAAGCATCTAACTTTGGTTCCTTCCTCTTCACATTTTCATACCATCCCTTGCCATTCAACATTCCACATGTGATTCAATGCTACTCCGTTTTTATCTCACTACCACAGTTCACTAACCACCTACTCCCTCAGATTTGCCAGGCTACTCATCCAAAATCCACTTTGGGATGATTAGAAATTGCTTCTGACCAAATAATGGGAACGCTGGAGTCTTGCCACAAACTCCATGACCTCGCTGTTTCTGCCCGGCTGCTGTGAGAGACTGCACCTCGTTTCTCAGATCCTTTTTGACCCTGAGATGAGCTTCCAATCACACGTCAGCTCCCTCACAAAACAACAGCTCCTCTCTATGTAACATTGTGTGTTTCCAACTCTACCTGAGGTCACCTGCTGCTGAAATCCTCATCTGTGCCTTGTCATAGTTAGCCTAAAGGTTACAATGCTGTCTCAAAGACAGACTCTCATTTTCCACTATCACTAAACTTGGGCTTGTACAACTGCTTGCAGTTTGTGCTGTTCAGCCCTCACTACTTAGTTTGCTGACTAGATGGGTCTCCAGTAAATCACCATTCTCTCATTCCTCCACCAGTGTTCTGGTTGTATAATTTCCTTCAGCCCTGTGACCCACAAACATATCTGCACTTTAACAACTCACACCTCTAGTTCATTCCCCGCTTTTATCACTCCACCATCGATGGTCATGTTCTTAGCTACCACAGTGCTTGGCTCTCAAATTTCCTCCCTACAACTCTTTATGTCTATCATACTTTTTCTGGTTTAACATATTCCTCAAAATTCATGTTTTGAGCCAAGATTTTAGTCACCTGCACCAAAACCTCCTGATTGTGGCCTGTTGTCAAATTTTGATCAATAACACTCCTCCAACATACCCTGGGTCATTTTACTTAAAGACGCAAAATAAATGCAAGTTGCATTAATCAATGTTATTGTTCAGGTAAATCAGATTTTTTGTAAACTCGTAATATTGGACCATCTGGTGAGCTTTGGGCTGTTGCTACTAACTTGCATTATCAATAATTAAGTAATGAATGTTGTTATAGGCTTGTGTGTATCAACAATAATAAAAAAAAAATTCTATATACAATTAGCTTGTTTGGTGTGCCTAGATGAATGTCACAAACTCCAAAAAACACATCTCTCTCTCTAATTGTTTCAGTTTCTGCTTCTAAATCTAGTAATTCTGATCAGAGGTTGCACACAGCCTGTTTTAAATTCACAATATATGGTCAGGTGATTTGAAGTGAGAGTGTTGAATATTCTGGCCACACCCAATGAATCTTGTGGCCTTGTGTTACTTTGTTTTCTAGGACTACTAATAAGTAATTATTGCAGACCTCCATTTTAATAGCTAGAGTCCCTGTTTGTAAATAATGTGAGGATGCTGATTGCTCTTGGGTTTCAATTAAAAACAGTTGGTGAAAACTTAAAATAGTGATCCTTTGTGACGTTACCCGAGGAAAGAGATAAAGAAGTGGCTTTTTCTCTGCACTTTGGTGCTTATGTACTGGTGTGGAAATCTGAAACTTTGGAGCTAATGAAGCTGAATCAAATTGGAGATGAGGGGAAATGGTGAGCATGTCTTGCAGAATAAAACTCTGGACAGCATGCACATCAAGTCGGGGAATTAAGTCAAGCAGAAATGGGCATAAATGTTTTTCTAAGGCTGCCATCATCCAGGAGAAGGTTTGGAATGTTCTGCTACTTTAAGCTCTAAGGTGAAGAAGTTCCACCTGCTGGGTGAAGTATGTAACTACAGCAGTGACTTTGTGTTAAAACACGGAGTATGTAATATAAACATTGTTGTCGATGTCAGCTTTGAACTGTGAACGCCAAACAGCATAAGTGTCCATTGTTTGAGAGAGCGCACTGGCTGACTGGAAGTAGCAGTTTAGAACAGACACACCACGCAAACAGAAGTATCACGTTGTAATTCCGGGTTGGAATTGGCTGGATCTGGGTCTATGTCTTATCACAGTGAGCGATGGTGGTTAATTTAAAGTGATGAAGTAAAGGCTCGGGAATGTCCAGAACAATTGTCAGATCTGAATGTTTGGATTTGTTTGGCTTGCCTTATTTGGGAGAAGTCTGCAGGTTACTGTCAAGCCACTGTATGGTGTGTAATCCAACAGCTACATTTTTCAGCCCTAGTCTGAAAGCTTACCCCGGTTTAAACCAGCAACTGAGATTCCTGTTTGTGAAAAATGAGAGATTACACTTTAATTTCTTTAAGTTTTAAGAGTTGTGACAGACAATACCTATCGGTGGATTTGAAGTACTTGATCTCTGACAACTCCGTTCTGTTAACTAACTATGATCATTTAAAGGAACAGCAAGCACTCACCTCCTTTGCAATTAGTCTTGTATGTCCCTTTCCAATAACAGATGAGAACAAATGGTTGTGGAGTACACAGTGCCCCAGACATTTGTTCTCCCAGCTGGAGACAGACGTACGGTTCAAAAGTAATGCCAAGAGGAACTGTAAAATAATCACAATCGGTTGGAAAAGAAAAACATTTGAATGTGTTTTTTTTAATTTGAAGAGGAGTGTGCCAAAGAAGTGGATGATAGTCCTTTTATTAAATGAAATCCCTGTTGTGTCCACACAGAGTGCTTATTTGGATGAGAGTGATGACCAGGCACCTCCCATTAGTCCTGTGAAGTCTCATGGTTCCACGGGAGATTTGTTGCAAGACCTAGATAACAGCATTGAATCAACTGAGCCAGTATTTAGACGGCGGGCCAATACCTTCAGTTACATGCCTTCCAGTGTTGAACAGCCGAAGCAGATGCTGGACGAGACCCCAACCTTTCCCAAGCCGAAATTGATGAGATATCACTCAGTGAGCACAGACACACCACACAAACAAAAGTAAGGTTTGGGATACTTTATAGACAACATCCATACCTTTTTTAAACTTTTTATGTGAGATCTTGCGGTTTGTGGAAGTGACAATTTCAAGCTGAAAGATCTATTACGGTTGTGTTCCTTAAATTGTTCGCTATTCTATAAAGAATAAGACCATAAGCAATAGGAGCAGAATGCGGCCACGTGGCCCATCAAGTCTGCTCTGCCATTTGATCATGGCTCTCTTATCTCTTTCCCTCTCCGCTGAACCTTTGATCCCATTACAAACCAAGAATGTATCTATCTATGTCTTCAATACACTCAGTGACTTGGCTTCCACAACCTTCTGCAGAAATGAATTGCACAGATTCACCACCCTCTGGCTGAACAAATTCTTCCTCATCTCAGTTCTGATTGGTTGTCCCTTCACTCTGAGGCTGGGCCTGAGGTCCTAATCTCTCCTGCCAGTGGAAGCCTCTTCTCCATATCCACTCTATCCAGGCCTCTCCATATTCTGTGAGTTTCAGATTCCCCCTCACCCCCACCTCACCCTTCTAAACTCCGTCAAGAACAGATCCGCAGTCCTCAACTGCTCCTCATATGACAAGCCTTTCATCCCTGGGATAATTCTTATGAACCTTGTTTGGAACCCCTCCAATACCAGCACATCCATCCTTGGATATGGAGCCCAAAACTGCTCTCAATATTCTAAATGGGGTCTGATCAGCAGTACATCTCTTGTATTCTAGCTGCCTTGAAATGATTGCTAACATTGCATTTACCTTCCTAACTGCCAAATGAACCTGCATGTTAACCTGAAGAGAATCCTAAACTAGGGCTTCTAAGTCCCTTTTAGTTTGGGACTTCAGATTTCCAAAGCCTTTCCCCATATGCCCCTATTCCTCCTACCACATGCCTCACACTTTCCCACATTGTATTCCATCTGCCACTTCTTTGCAATTCTCCTAGCCTGTCCAAGTCCTTCTGCAGCCTTCCTGAGCTCTACCTATCCCTCCATCTACCTTTATGTCGTCAGCAAACTTAGCAACAGTGCCCTCAGTTCCTTCTTCCAGATCATTTAATGTATAGCATGCATAGTTGTAGTCCCAACTCTGACCCTCATGGACTCCGCTGCCATCCTGAAAAATACATCTTTATCCCCACTCTCTGCCTTCTGTCAGTCAGCCAGTCCTCTATCCATGCCGGTATCTTGCCCCTAAAACCAGCCTCCTGTGAGGCACCTTGTGGAAATCTAAATAGACCAGAGTAACATAAAGTACTGTCTATGATGTGCCAATTTGGCAATATTTTAAAGCCTACTGAACAAAATCTTAAAATCTATGGTATTGTAGTTCTGTTCCTATTGTAAGATTCCTTGCCTCCATTTGGAACCTTCAGTGAAGCTGGCTGGAGTGAACTATCCACTTGCTGCAGGACTGCCTCCAGTGCTCAGGGGCAGTGTCACTGGAGTCATTAGTGCCCTGGGCAAACTTGGGTCCATTAAAAGCTGACTGATGTGAAGCATCAGTAAACAACGTCAAGATATATGTGCTTCTCTTTTCAAATTTTGAGCTTTAGTTATTTATTCTCACTCATTGACATTTTGTGCCAAACTGTCTGCTAATGGCATTAGGAATAATTAACCAACCCATGAATGATGTACTGTGTGACATTGGCTTTGGTGACTGAACATTTATCATGTTTCTTTGCTAAGTAATTGTTATATAGTTAAATCTCTCATCAGCTGAACATTATGAATTTATTGTTGTCATATGTACTGAGATACAGAGAAAAGTGTTGTTTTGTGTGCTATACAGGCAGATTGTACCATACAAAGTGCATCAGGGTAGCAGGTAAGAATGCAGAATACAGTGTTACAGAGAAGATGAAGAGAGAGAGATCAACATTAACATTTAAGAGGGCCATTCAAAAGTCTGGTAACAGGGGTGAAGAAACTGTTCTTCAATTTGTTTGTATGTATATTTAAACTTTTATATCATCTGCCTGATGGAAGAGGGTGGAAGAAAGTATAATCGAGCTGGGTGGGGTCTTAGATTATATTGGTTGCCTTCCCGAGGCAGCAGGAAGCATAGATGGAGTCAATGGGTGGAAGGCTGGTTTGTGTGATGGCCCAGGCTATATTCATGATGTTTTGTAGTTTCTTGCATTCTTGGGAAGAACAGTTGCCATACCACTCTGTAATATATCTAGATAGATGCGCCAAAAAAAGCATTCTATAAAAATTGGTAAGAGTCCTTGTGGACATGCTGAACTTCCTTAGCCTCCTGAGGAAGTAGAGACGTTGCTGTCCTTTCTTGACCATCACGTCAATGTGGGTGGACCAGGACAGATTGTTCGTGAGCACCACTCCCAGGAACTTGATGGTCTCGACCATCTCCACCTCCGCACCATTGATGCAGACTGGAGCGTGCCCTCCACTCCACTTCCTGAAATCAGTGACCAACTCCTTTGTTTTGCTGACATTGAAGGTGTTGTTGTCTTTACAACATGCCGCTAAGCGTTCAATCTCTTTCCCATACTCTGTCTCACCGTTGTTTGAGATCCAATGTACAATGGTGGTGTTGTCAGCAAACGTGTAAATGGAGTTGGAGTGGAATTTGGCCCCATAGTTGAGTGTATAAGGAGTATAGTAAGGGGCTGAGCCTGCAGCCTTGCAGGGCACCGGTGTTGAGAATTATGGCAAAGGAGGTGATGTCGCCTGTTCTTACTGATTGCGGTATATGGGTCAGGAAGTCAAGGATCCAGTTGTAGAGGGGATAGCTGAGACCTAGATCTCAGCGTTTAGAGAGGACTTTGTTTAGAATTATGGTGTTAAAGGTGGAATTGTAGTCAATAAGTAGGAGCCTGTTCTAGGGATCCTTGTTATCCACATGTTCCAGGGATGAATTTAGGGCCAGGGAGATGGTGTCTACCATGGACCTGTTGCACTGGTAGGTGAATTGCAAAGGACATCTGGGCTCGTCATTCACTTCCATAGCAACCACACAATCTGCACCTTCCTGGGTGCTCTCAGCATCTCTTGGCGGCAGACCTTACCTTGCTTTAGTATGCTTTGACTCTCAGACAGAGGTATCTGCCTTGCTGTGTTATTCAGCGCAGACCCAAAGGACTGAAGCTTGTCATGATTGCCATGATTTCAATCAAGTCAGAGAATGGCCTTTGCTCAGGAGGCACAGTAAGTGGCACAGTAAATCTTTATGTGAAGTTGGCACAATGAGGGAGAGAGAGTGAGGTAGTGGAGAGATGATGGTGGCACTTATCCTCTTGAAGAAGGACATCGCCCTTCTTCCTGCATTGTTGTGCATTCCTCAAGATATTTGAAACTGCTCTAGCCAGACCAGGTGGCTCCTGGAAGATGAAGTAGTCCCACCTTTGGAGTAGGACTTCCATGTCCCCGGCTGCAAGACAAGGCACCACTCTTCTTCGCCTGTCATGATGAGGGCAAATGTCAGGAACAGTGCAGGGCAGCTCCAGGCTGCAAGTCCTTTTCCGTGTGCACGATGGTCTTTTAAAGATGGTACGAGTACAAAGGATGCCAGTTAATTCCAAGATATACCTGGCAGTGGCCATTTGTTCTGGGAACGGCACATGGAAAGGTGGACTGGAACTGGAAGTGAGGGATGCCTGATGGGCAGGACAGGAGATAATAAGGCAAGGTTGGTAAGATACAGTGAGAAACGTGCTTGGCCTTGCAGTGACAAATCCTCCAAAACACATGACACAACTTGCATTTAGCCCAATAATAAAAGTAAGATTCAGCCTTATGTGCTCTAGTTTGAGATTTAGATTTAGATTTAATTGTCATGTGTACTCGTACAGGAATACAGGAGCACAGTGAAAAGTGTACAAAGTCACCATTCTCCAGCGCCATCATGGTATACGAAAGACAGGATTAAAAACAGAAGCTGAAATGAAAGAAAAGAAGTCCTTGCCGCCAGAAAAGCAAAGCCACGAAATCGATCCTCAGTCTGCAAACACTCAGTCCCCAAGTCTCTGCACGCTGCCTGGGCCCATCCATGGCCTGGAGCCGAGCCCTTGCTGCTGGAACCATGTTGCCGTTCTTCGGCGCCATCTTGCCTCCACTGATGTCGTTGCCGCCTTGAGTCTGCGCTGGCCTGATCTCGGCAATGCAGCTGCCGCTGAGGCGGCCGGGCCCCAGACCAGCCCGTCACACTGGGGCGGCCGGGCCGGGCCGGGCCCCAAACCAGCCCGTCACACTGAGGAGGCCAGTGCCTTTTTCTGGCTTACGTTGCTGCCGTTTCTTGGGACCACCGTTTCAGCAAAGGAGCCTACTGCTGCCGATCCCCGGGAAGGAACTGCTCCCGTCCCTCCCGACATGCCGGAAAGGGAACCACTCCTGCCGCTGCTGACACTCTCAGGTTGAAAGTGGGGGAAAGTTAAAAGAGCCAAAGTAAATGAAAAGGGGGAAGAAAAGGCAGACGGAAGCAGACAAGCCCCGAGTTCAGAACCTGGGCCCAAATGCTCCTCGTCTGCTGCCGCATCTTGAGATTCAGTTGTTCTGTGATGTCCCAGGTGTTGTCACTGTAACTCTGCGCACCTCCAGGAAACATTCTCTGAATATCTACCCTGTCTACCACCTGCCCCTTCCTCAGAATCTAGTTGGTTTCAGTAAGATTAACCCTCATTCATCTAAACTGTAATGAATAAAGGCCTCACCTGTTCAGCTGTTCTTGATAAGTCAACACTTCATCCCAGGAATCCACCTCGTGAATCTCTTTTTGAACTGCCTCCAGTCCTAATGAATCCGTTCTTAAATGTAGGGACATTAGACTGTGCACAGTAATCCAGGTGTGGCTTCAACAACATCCTGTACAATTGTAACAAGACTTCCCTATTTTCAAATTCCCTTCTAATAAGGGACAAAATTCCATTTGCCTTCTTTGGGATCTTGCATGTCTTGGGGTGTGTATCTTGTTGATGGAGAAAGACCGTGTAGTTGAATTGGAATCTAACTAGAATCCTTGACTGATATTATTAAATGC